TATGACTGGCAATATGAGTACCTATTAACTAAACAAGGTAGGATAAGTGCCATTATCACCTTCTCTTGTTGTACATGGATAAACAATACTGAACAGGTAGAAGTCAATATCCTTGAGATATACAACCAAGCCAAATGGTTATACTCATTTGGGAAAACCTACTCCAGCTCCCAGGATATCTAGAATATAATAAAAGGGGCTCTTCCGATTTTCACTGGGTTCCTCCACCTCTTAGGATTTCTTGCTGCTATCCTTTTAATGCTCATCCTTGGGCCCTGCCTCCTGAACTGTCTAGTTTCTTTGTCTCTAAAAGAGTTGAGGAAAACTATAGATAATAATAACCCAGGAATTAATGGATAGGGCTATAGCTGGGAGATATTAGACCTACTTGAAGCTAGCTAGGGTTAGGTTTCACTTCTCTAACAGGGGACAACAACTACTCTTTTATGAGAGAAGACAGATCTTCGACCCTCAGTAACCTTAAAAAATGTGAGTGAAAACAGAAAAGGGTAAAATTTGTTATCCCACAATAGTCCTATGTGACATGCCTAAAACTCCTAGCTTTCCTTAACTATGTTCATCTCTGAGAGACAAGATGGCTTGCAATTAGTAGCTTTCTCCCAAGAATGGGGACAGTTAAAATGACTAAGACCAAATGGCCACCAAATTGAACTCCATAGAACTTCAAACCTCATTATATCTGCAGAACATCTCTGAACTACCTTGGTAGCTGTACTTGAAGATTAATCTGCTGAGTGAGTTTGGGAGCTGAGAAAGTTTTACCAGGAATGGAGTTACTGTGAGGCCAATGAAGCTTAAACTTGGGGTTCCACCTTTGCCTGGGCTTCTCGCACATGCTGGGAGTTGCAGAATGTCTCAGGTAGGGAGAGGAAGCAGGTTGTAGTCAGGAAGGATTTCTTTGTAAGCATTTCAGGTCAAGTGATCTCAGTAAGTCTTCAACATTTGATGGTGACTTTTTTTCAGATTATAAATAAATATTTAATTTTGCATTTCTAATTTTGTGTTCTTAGAGAGGACCACACAAATTATAGATGCTTTAGGCTACACAAAATCTGGATCTGCCACTGGGATTTAATAAATGAGCTCACCTGGGTGCTTTGCTAGTATATGTTTTCCTACATTTAGTAACACACAATTTATATGAGTGAACAAACACTAAGTAGAATCTAGAGAATCACAAGTAATTCTGAAATCAGTGCTTTGATGACTCTTATGAGAGAACTGGAACTTCCGGGCAGCCGATATATTTCCATCTTAGTATTAATAAATGCTGTGAAACTGGAACTTGGATACTGATATCAGTTCAGTTCAAGAAGGCAAGCCTTTGTGGAATGCCTGCTGTGTGCAAGGGGATTTAGGGCCAGGCTTCCCCCCCTCCCCCGATAGTTTAAATTCATTTTAAGAGTGATTTGAAATTAATTGCCTTATTATCTTAACAGTGAAGTGATTTTAGTTCCTTGGAGTCTTAATAACAGTTCTCTTTTAAGAAATCAGAGCCAACATGATAAATACGATTAAATACCAAGGAACAACAACGATAAATTGTTGGTAGCAGTCATTTAATGTTCGCTGAAACAGACTTGTCAGTCTGTTAGGAGTTTCAGTGCAGAGGAAACAAAATGAAAACAATCATTTTTCTTTGTTTATAGACAGTTTCATAGATTGTCGTCATGGGTAACTTTGAGGTAACTATTTTTCAAACCAAGAAACCTTATATTGAAAACAAACTATTTTATGTTCATCATTTTGTCATTCTCTTAAATGTATCATTAAATAAGTATCAAGTACTATCGTTTGAGAAATGTCATTGATTTTCTAAAAGGTAAGTCAATATATAATGTCAGATACTGTAAAGTTTCACAGAAAAACAAAATCAGAGGAGGCAAGAGATTGATGTGGGGGTGGAGGGTCTGTTTTAGAAAGACAGTGCTGTCTTCCTAGCTATACCTTGAGTGTGCCGAGCACACCCCCATCTTAGGGCCTTTGTACTTGCTGTGGCTTCTGCCTGGAACGCTGTCCTTCAGAAACTGCATCCATTATTTCCTTACTTCACTCAGGGCTCTGCACCCTGTCTAAGGAAGCACCATCTGCCATTCCATTTCCTCCCTGCTCTTCAAGTATTCATCTCCATCTGACGCTGGAAACTGAGGAAATTCAAGGAAATTCTTTGATAAATCCTTTGCCATCTGATGTCTTAGTACTTGCTTTTTGAAATTCAGGAATTGAAAAGATTTTAAAATAATTCTTGCTATTATATTTGACCTGGATATCCGAATCAGGAACCAAATAATTTTGTATAGTAAGGGATATTTGTTTTCTTCATAGTACTTTTTACTCTCTGATTTATTTGTCTGTCTCCCTTACTAAATTGTTAGTTTCATGGTGGGTGGAACTTTGTTTTTTCCCCCTGCTCTATCCCCATCACCTGGAACAGTGCTTGACACTGAATCAAGTCTCAATAAATATATGTTGAATAAATCTGTTACTATATGAATGAGTCCATTTGAACCAATATCTGAACTCCAATTTTAAAAAGTATATGATTATATGGAAAAGGCTTATTTCACATTATTAATTTTTAAGAAGCAAGATGTGGGGTTATATATATAATACGATTTCCACTTAAAAAAATTCTTGGCTCAGTGGATAGAGTGTCGGCCTGTGGACTGAAGGGTCCCAGGTTCGATTCCAGTGAAGGGCATGTACCTTGGTGGTAGGCACATCCCTTGTAGGGAATGTGCAAGAGGCAGCTGGTCGATGTTTCTTTCTCATCGATGTTTTTTACTCTCTATCTCTCTTCCTTTTTGTAAAAACATCAATAAGATATATTTTAAAAAATTCTTGAAACTTTGCATGTGTTCTTTTATTCCATTTCTTTTTTTAAAATATTTTTATTGATTTCAGAGAGGGAGGGAGAGGGAGGGAGAGGGAGAGAGAGATAGAAACATCAACGATGAGAGAAAATCATTAATTAGCTGCCTCCTGTGTGCCTCCTACTGGGAGTTGAGTCTAAAATACAGGCACGTGCCCTTGACTGGAATCCAACCTAGGACCCTTCAGTCCATTGGCTGACACTCTATCCATTGAGCCAAACCGGCCAGGGCTATTCATTCATTTCTTGAAAGAAAATTTAATAAGTATCTCCAGTGTGTCCATTCTGTGCTGGGCATTCTAATCCAGCTACAGTTTCATTAGAAGATAGATCATGAAATGAACTCGACCTTTTCCCTCATCACTACTCTCCAGCTATGTTGATCTTCATTCAATTACTCACATTTACTAACCTTTCAACATTGCACAGGTTATTTTCCCCTCTCTCCCCCCATTGATTTTTTAGAGAGAGTGGATGGAAGGGAGGGGGAGAGAGAGAGAGAGAGAGAGAGAGAGAAATATATCAATGAGACACATTGCTTGGTTGCCACTCACATGCCCCTGACCAGGGCCAGGGATCGAACTTGCAACCCAGGTATGTGTCCTTGACCTGGAATCAAGCCTGCAACCCTTCAGTTATTTTGTTATATGCTTAATATGTGTCTCTATATATTATAAATTCTGTGAGGCTAGGGACCATAATACCATTTAATTATCAATACCTAGCTCAATGCCTAAAATATAGTAGGTACTCAATAAACATTTGTTGAGTGAATGAATGAATGAATGAATGAGAGAAGTACATAGTAGGAATACCATATCTAATATAATGGAAGTTAGGGGAAGTAAATTTCAAGCTGGGATCTGAAGAATGAGGAGGAATTAGCAAGTGATGAAACCAAGCAGCGTGTTCTGGCGATTAAGCTATGACTTTATTTTAAAAGCAATAGAAGAGTTTTAAGCCAAAAAGTGACTATCATATTGCATTTTATTTTTATTATTATTTTTAAAATATATTTTATTGATTTTTTTACAGAGAAGAAGGGAGAGAGATAGAGAGCTAGAAACATTGATGAGAGAGAAACATCGACCAGCTGCCTCTTGCACACCCCCTACCGGGGATGTGCCTAAAACCAATGTACATGCCCTTGACTGGAATCGAACCTGGGACCTTTCAGTCCGCAGACCGACGCTCTACCACTGAGCCAAACCGGTTTTGGCTTATATTGCATTTTAGATGGACTGTTTCTCATTGATGTTAGGAACAGACTGGATGGGCAATGCTGGAGCAGAGATTGGTTCAGAGGATTTAGTGGTAGATGGTTGTGGCCTCCATTGGGTTCTTGGCACTAGGGAAGGGAGAAGTGGGTGACTGGGATAGCGAGAGAAAGGAAGGAGTTAAGTATGATTCCAGACTTCTAAGTTAGGCAACTGAGAGCATCCTAGGCTCACAATTCAATGGAACTCAGAGGGAGAGACCATCTTAGGAGAAAAGAGCCTGTCTATATTGAAGCTGAGCATTAAGGACTTGGTTATATAGCTGACTTCTCTAGATGTAAGTACTTAGTAAGATTCCTGGGAAAAAATCATCAAAATATTGTAGTATTGGAAATCTAGTAATATCTCTAAAATTTTCTTATTAACTTTTGGTTTTCATTATTTTTGTTTTATAAAGGAAAAATAATAAACTTTAGAGAATTCTGTTAGGATCTGCCATAGGAAATGTTAACATTTTTGTCCAAAAGACAAAAAACTAAGGCTTTCTTAATAAAATATGGGTTATTCCCAATGAAAATAAATGATTGGCCCTGAATAGAAGCCCATTGTGAAATGGGTTTACTATTAGTGTATGTGTGTGGTGAAAGAGGAGGGCTTCATTTGGAAATTTAACCTTTCCATTCAGAGGTCTGCTAGAGTCAGGAACTATCATTCATTCACTTCTTCCTTCCTTCCTTCTTTCATTCATTATTCATATATCAATCCTCAGCATGGTCCCTGACTTTTAGTAATTGCTCAAGTGAAAGCTGTTATTTAGATTTGTTACTAATACATTTATTTTTACTGCAGTTGTTATACAAGAATGTTATTTGTGTCTGATTGACTTTTAGGTAGATTGGGGTCACCTGGACTATTTAGTTGTTGACATGCCACCAGGAACTGGAGATGTGCAGTTATCAGTCTCACAGAACATTCCCATTTCAGGTAAATCTCAATGTTTAAAGTAGTTTGTGCTACCTTTGATGCTTTGCTGTTTCCTTACAGAAAAACAAACTTTATAACAAACATATTTATATCTTAAAAACATAATCATTTATAAATTTTCCTTTTAAGATAAAATTCATGAATAGAATTTTTCAAACTATTATTAAAACAGTTATGTTTTCACAAACATAAGGCACTTTGAGAGGTCGTGATGTGAATCTGTGCTCTGGAAAAGCAGCAGCATTTAAGTGTTATTTAGGTAGAACATGGCTGTTTGGGGCTCACAGCTCTCCGTACTTACAGTATAGTGCCCGATACAGGGTGGGCACTAAGTGAATATTTATTGAATACATACTGATGAGTAAGAGTAAATTTTAGGAAAATTTGGATTTTTGGTGAATATAATTATGGGAAATTTTTATATTCTGCTAATTATCTATATCATAAAAGGCCTGTGGTTGTGACGCCGTAACAGTGTCACGACCAAATAAGCAGCAGCAGAGGGCGTGGGGGGTGGGCGCGAGGGCAAGGATGCTGGCTGCATCCACAGAGTGTGCAAGGCACTGCGGGGAGGCGGACACGGCCCTGATGGCAGGCTAGGCCTAGAGGACCCTAGCATGCATGATTTAATTGTGCGCTGGGCCTCTAGTTTAATATTAAAGTCAAGAGAGCAAAAAAGATATTACCTTACTTCAAATGTACAGTACTTCATTAAAATAGAGGTTATTTATGATACGGAGTTTCAGTATTTCTCATTAACTTTTATGTTAAACTAGAGGCCTGGGTACACTAAATTCTGTATGAGTGTGGTCCCTAGTCCTGGCCGGTGATCAAAGCTCAAAGCATGAGCGTCTGGCGTGGAAGGGCAGGTCCTGGCTGACCTCTGGGCTCTGGGCAGCACCTGAGCCCCTGGGCCCCTGCATGGCCCCTCCATCTGAGCCATGGCGCCTGAGTCTCCACACAGAGGTGTGGTGAGCATGGCCAGATGCAATGGGCCGGGGCGCATTATGGGGCTCTGGGCTGCCTAGTGGCACCAGCTGGAAGCCGAGCGGGCAGCACACTCTCTCTCCCAGACAGACTTGCAGACCAGCTCCTGTGTGAACCCACAGGGAGCCAGATCAGCCCCTGCAGTCCCAGCTGCAGCCCAGCTTACCTGGAAGTCCGCTGGGGCCAGCAGCACCTCCGCTGCTGCCCACTGCCAGCACCATGTCACTGAGGCCCACCATGTTCTGTGCCACCCCCTGGTGGTCAACACATATCATAGTGAGTGGTCAAACTCCTAGTGGAACTCCCAGTCGAGGGGACAATTTGCATATTAGGCTTTTATTATATAGGATCTGTTTTTCCTAGATTCCACTGAAGAAATACTTGTTAATCTCACTTATATATAAGGACTTTGGGGAAAAGAAGGAATATTTAAGTGTTTTTGCAAGTTAGTTATGTATTGGTAATAAATAACCAAGAGTTATCACTAACATTTAATCATCAAAAGGTGTAGAACCTGTGTTTTTGATAAAATATACACATTGCTTGAAAATATCAATATAGCATATTAATATAAATATTTTTTATGTTTAAATATATTTAAACGTAACCTAATGGAGCCTAAGACTTTTCTTTTAGTGAGGCAAGCCATGAAGTATGAAATGGGAGTAAAGTGAAGTAATATAAGAAAATAATTCTTCCTCTTTATAATCATTATACTAAATAGCCTGCTTTTTCTTTTTTAAAGAAGTTTCTCAATCTTATGAATACTCACTAAATGTTTATTGAATAAAATGTGTTTCTGAGACTTTGAAATGCCTATTGAAGGTATCCAAAATGCTTACATTATTCATGTGAATAATACATTGATAAAATTGGACTAAATTATCATTTATTTCTTGCATTGTGACTTGGTACCTTGAAAAAGTTTAATTTGCTTCCCACAGATGAACTGAAGTCCCTAAGCAATTTACCTTTGTTCATTCAGATGAAAACTCTTCTGTTTGGACAGGATTTATGATTGTATCACCCTGTTTAATTTGTACGTACACTCTAAAACCAACAATGGGTAGATTGGAGTTAAGATTGCCTCTCCTTTGAAGATTTCTTTTTTATATCCTATAACTTAATCAGCATATTTCTTATCCCTTTAATCTAATGAAAAGTCTGCCTTGTAATAGGTGATTGATATTATTATAGGAGAATAAAAAAGCAGTATTTTTTATTGCAGTAAAATATACAATAATAGTTTAATAGCATTAAATACATCCACATTATTACATAATGATCACCACCATCCATCTCCTGAACTTTCTCATCTCCCCAATGAAACTGTGTACCCATTAAACACTAACTCTCAATTTCCTCCTTCCTCTAGCCCATGGTAACCATCATTCTCCTTTCAGAAAATAGTCTATATGAAGATTAGGAAATGGGGAATGAAGAAATTATATAAGAAAAATATTAATTTAAAATATTGCATTAAACAAAAATCTAACATTGATTTTAAGATTTATTAATATAATTTTAAACCAACAAATGTTTACCTGTGAGAATTAGACACTAAGCACTGTAGAGTATTCAAGGATAATTAAATCTTCAAGTCTTTACCTACACTAGAGTTCTGTACGTTTTGTGATTCTCAGACCTTTTTTTTTTTTTTTTGAGAATTTGATGAATATATAGATTTTCTCCAAAAAAATATATTTGTACCTACAGAAATGCTAACTTTATGTATAATTTCAGGGGGCTCACAGTCCTCAGGTTAAAAGTCCCCCAGTTCTAGGAGACAGAGCAAGGGGATGAGTAGGGGGAGGGAGTGGCTGATAAGAAAAGAGCATGGATGGCTAAAATGTGGAGTTTGAAAAGTGCTGTATGAGAGAGATGGGGGATCAGGGGAGAAGAGCTCACGGGTTTGAGGGGAATTGTCAAAACATGGAGATGAGCCTTAAAGAATAAATATGATTCATTGTAAAGTATTCAAGATGATACCTGGTTTGCTTTGCTTTTTCTTGGCCTAAGGGAAAGAAATTTGAGAGTGAAACTTCTAATGTTCTATAATCTTATTACAGAAACTTAACATGTATTTCTCCTCCCAAATCTGTTCCATTAAAAAAAAAATAGGACCAAGTACTGTAGATGCTTTTGAAAATACACAAACTTAGTTATTTCTGGGTTACAAAACTGAAATATTGTTCTAGTATCTTCTAAATTTTCTGTAATAAATTTATATTTTTATAATTAAAAGTAAATAGAAAGGACATATTCTTTAGGAACAGTAGATTCCTGTGTATATTGGTGATGATTGCTTATTATTAATTAACTGACATTTAATGATAGTCTTCTATATATTAATTTTTTAATTATCACCAGTGTTATCTCTATTTTCTTAAATCTTTGAAGGATTAAGTCACTTTCCCAAGGTCACACATTTGTAGTCATTTATAATTGAGGTTCTTATAGTTCATACTCTTAACCTCTACATGAAACTGCCCTCATAGAAAATCCAACAATATTTGACTCATTGGTTTATTGTGTGTGTGTGTGTGTGTGTGTGTGTGTGGTATGGTAGGGTCTTCCAAATTTAAGAAGAGCTGTAAGCACTGATATGTTGTTGTTGTTGTTTAAATATATTTTTATTGATTTCAGAGAGAGGAAGAAAGAAAAAGATAGAAACATCAATGATGAGAGAGAATTACTGATCGGCTGCCTTTTACACACCTTCTAATGGGGATCGAGCATTTTCGCTGCTTCCCAGAGTTGGTAGGATCACTTCATGTGTTTGGTGTCCTATATGGCCCAGTGGGTCAGCCTTCCCAGTTATCTGAGGTGGACACTCTTGGTGCTCCCCTTTGTGTACTGTGTGTACAACCTTGTTGTAGTTAAGTCTTGATTGTTGTTGATAATCACTGGGAGGAATTGACCGCCAGGCCAACTGGATGTGAGTATCAGCTGTGTCTACACTGGGATACCTTCTGTATAGGAGACAGTCTTATAGGGTCAGACTTGCAAAATTGCAAAAGCCTCTGTGCTCAGGTTGGATGGGGCGGAGTCTAAGGGCTGAGCTGACAGTCTTGGCTTTCCATCAGCCCTGCCCTTATGCGCGCACATCAGACTTCTGCCTTCCATGGCTCCTCTGAGTTTCCGCCTGACAGTCCAGATTCCTCTTGTAAGAGCATGGGTGCTCCAGGGGCTCGCCCTGAACTGGGTTTCAGTGCTCAGTGCAGTCAGAACTGGGGTTCAGTATAGTCAGGAGCTTCCAACTCCTTTCGCTATGGAGCAGCTGCGGCAATCCAAGGTCAGACCTCTCTGCGTGCACTCACTGGCGCACAACTCTAGACCCTGCCCGCTGCGGCTCCCGGCTCCCCCTAGTCTCCCAGTCTCTGAGTCTCTGGGTGCCTTTCTCTACAGTCCTTATTCCACCCGTATGAGCCTGGGTCCACAGGGTTTCGGCTGGGGTTGGGGTTCAGTGCAGTCGGGGGCTTCCTTTCTCCTCCCGCCAGCCAGGCATTCAGCCACCCTTCCTCCTGATCTGTGAGCCACTCTCCTTTCTACTTGTAGATTTCCCACTCAGCCAGCTTTCCTGTGGTTTTTGGATGATGTCTGTTCTGTCTTTTAGTTGTTGTTTTGAAATTGTTGTGTGAGGTGGTAATTTAGGCGCTTATCTAGGCTGCCATCTTGTTTTCCCTGTCCTGAGCCTTGATTGTTGTTGGCATCAGTGGGAGGAATTGACTTCCAGGCCAATTGGCTATGAGGACCAGTTTTTTCTACAATGAAAGAGCTGCTGTGCAGGAGATACCTCTGTAGAGTAGGACTTGCTTCAGTGGGGCTTTGGTTCTCACTGAGTCTGCCGTTGAGTGTATCACTTGTGGGTATGAAGAGTTGTAATCTGATGTGATCTAAAGTTGTCCAACCAGGTGTGCTGGCTCTGGGTCTCCAGGGAGGTGCAAAGTCAGTCACTGCCTGTGGCCACCTGGCAAGAGCTATCTTGGCTGCTACTTTTATTGGGCTAGGAA